AGAGAGAGAGAGACAGAGAGAGAGAGAGAGAGAGAGAGAGAGAGAGACAGAGCCAGAGAGAGAGAGAGACAGAGAGAGAGAGAGAGAGTTGGGGCTGGGAAGGGTGCAGGAGGACCAGGGCAGATTTGGGGGGGGTTAATTTATTTATTTTTATTTTCAAAGCCCGCCCACCTGCATGCAGCCCTGGGCAACCACGCACCCCCGCTCGCTTCGTTCCCAAGTTTCGCACCGAGCAGGGCGAGAAGACATTGAATGCTTTTGAACGCTGGCCTGGTGGTCTGAACAGGTTTGGAGGCCAGCGTTCAAGGCGTTCAACCCGTTCATACAGATGCATAGCCACTGATTGAACCCGTTCATACAGATACATAGCCACTGACCACAAACTACTGCCGCTGTGCCACAGGGTCCATGAATTCTCCACATGTAATAGTGCTGAAATGATCCGGGTGATGCAGGATGCACACACAAAAAACTGGGTCCATGTCCAAAGTAATTCTGCGGAGCAGGCTGCAGTTGCAATCTTCTTCTCATAAATGCCATAGGCAACACTTCTATGTCCATGCGAGCCGCAGTACTGTCGTCTTCTGGGAAGACAGTGCGACTCTTCTTTAGAGCGTACAATGTCTGCAAAACGGGAAAGTGTGAACCAAGACGCAAAATGTGAGGTGTGTGTGGCACGTGAAGTGTGTGTGGCACAATGCCCCCAGCGGGACCGCGCCATGGGGAGCCGTTGTTTTTGAAAAGGGCAACGGCCTTGAGATATGAACGTTGAACCAACCTGCCGCAGCTAATTTAGAACTATTTTACTCTGTTGAAACTCAGCTCTGCATTTGGACAGTTCATGAGAAACCATATAGGTGACACATCAAAGGAGAAAAAAAGGTACGGCACACCTCCGTGCACAAAAGAAATGAATACTAAGGCCCGAATCATCAGGTAAAAGCAAACATGACAGGCTGGAAACAGGCTCAGACGGTCATGCACACTTAGCTCCCTAGTATTGCCACACACCTGAGGGGCCAAATAAAAAAGAAACCACATATGCTGAGAATGCAATCCTTACCAACACCCTGTGTAAGGAAGGATTGCACTCTCAGCATGCGGGGAAGGGGCTGGGTACTTCTTCATCCCACGGGTATCTCATGATGCCCGTGGATGGTGCTTCAGCCAGGTTGGTGACCGTGGGAATTCTCATTGCGGGAACAAGTTCCGATTAGATGACCTGTTGCGGCTTCACTCGCAAAAACAAATACGACAGATGATGCATTGACGGTGGAGGCTACCGACCAATGAAAACTCTCTCTCTCTCTCTCTCTCTCTCTCTCTCTCTCTCTCTCTCTCTCTCTCTCTCTCTCTCTCTCTCTC